ATACATATTTTTAACATTTGTGGCTGCTGGCAACCATAAACTCTTTCTTTTAATCTGTCACATCTACAGCATTCAAAGGTCAAACTAAAGCACTTCTCAGTGGGTTCATAGATTTCCAGGTCAGCTTAGTCTTTCTGAAAACATTAAGCTTACAACACATACACACAAACAAACTGCTTAAACAACTTATTTTAGACATCAATTCATAAAGAAGTGTTGATTTCCAAGTCAAACCACATCCAATACTTCAAATAGTGAAAACGACTTGATATCCAAGGGTTTTCCCTTTTTGCCACGAGTCCACCACAAATCCAGAGATTAAGAGGATTGTGTGTGTTTCAAGATGAGCGGGGTTCTGAGAGGTCCTTTTCCATATCTTCCAATAATGTCTTTAAATAACATTTAAAACATTTTACATTTTAATGACAGCTGCTGTGATGCGTAAAATGGCACCAAATGTGCGTAAAATGATGTGGAGAGGAAGGCAGGCGCACGAACAGAAACTAATGTCAGAGGTCTGGAATATTGATACAGCTTCTGGGCTCTGTTAAGGAGGCATTTTCAAAAAGAAGCAGAGATTTACTTCCCCACCTCGTCGAGCACTTTGCGGTTGAGCTGAGCCTGCTCTCTCTGGCTCTCCATCTTGGCCATCTGAATCATATTCCTCAGCAGGTGGAAGGTCAGGTCGATGGAGAGCGGCGGCTCTTCGCTGCGTTTCAGCAGCTGCGCCGCGGTCCTCATAGCCGCTTCCTCCGCCTCCTCGCTGTCTTCTTCTGGCGGGAGCAGGTGGAGACGATCCGGGTTCCTCCTCTGGAGAATCCTCATGATGTTTTCGCCCAGTAGATCGGAGGCGGCGTTGTCCCCGGCGGCAGCCGCTCTGAGGAGCACCTCGTCCAGTTGCTGCGTTTGAAGGCGACCGCTGCCATTCATCCAGCCAGGGAAGGTGCGCGGTCTGCCGGCGGCTGGACGGAGGTGTGATGACAGGAGGACCGAGGAGAGCAGCAGGAGAAGGGAGACTGGCTTCATGTCCTGCAAGAAAATGAAACATTTAAGATGACATTCAGGTTTAAAAGTACGTTTCATAGTGTATCTTGGAAATGTTGTGTTTTATTTACATTCTCTCTGAGCTAAGCGTGACATTCATACACTTTTAAAACTTTAAAGTTTGGTTTGGGTCGTGATTCGGCAGATGTAAAGTCTCATGTTCGCTCCAAAGGCAAAATAAATGTTATCTGTCAATCTGATGGAAAACCTAAATCTTCTAAAACATTTACTTGAACTGGAATTAAAATTACAAAAGAATATTTAATGGCAACATTTTCTTTTGTAGCCAAAGATTGTTCAAGCTAAAGCGCATAAGATGACGAGCACCTCACTGTGCGGTTATTAAAAAGTTTAAATGATGAACACAACTTTAGACTGAATGAAAGAACTACTGTTCTTACTTTACTGTCTCCAGATGCTGCAGCTGGACTTTGCGGTCGGCCGGTGAGATTCAGCAGAGTCTGAAAAGTCCCTGTGAGCGGAGACTAGAGGGGACCGGAGGGTTTTATACGTCCTGCCCGCTCCTTTGACGTCAATGTGAGCACAGATAGCGCATTGGAAACCGGACAACTATCGAGACGCAAAGCACAGAAGTCCCGAGGGACAGCTGGGGAAGCTGTGATGGACGGCGAATAAAGGACGTGATTTTTTTTTTTTTTTTACAGCTTCATTTCTTTTTCATCCTTGGTGGGTCATCAAGTTTGATGAGGTAAACTCACAGGGGTACAGGAGGAAGGTGCCAATAGGTGTGGGATTTCTGGGGCGATTCAGGAACCTGCCCTACTTTTTATTCTTATATTATCAGAATTATTTTGTTGTGCGTGATTATGTTTTTTCTTTGCAACCCGCACTGCCTTAAATTCTCTCTTAAATATGAATAATCTGAATAATAATAATATGAATCAAAATCTGTGAAGAGCCTGTCTCCCTGCACTGCATTGCTAAAGGGCTATTTCACTTTCAGAAGTTCAAATGAAAGAATTAGAGGTGAATTAGAGGCAGAAACTAAGCGCTGAAGTGATGCAAGAAGATGTAAAAGACAATAAATCAGCATTAATTCAGCTCACATTCACCTGCCTGAAGTTAAAACTTTATTTTTCACCAGGCTGTGCTCTAAAGCAAAGTATTGCTTTGGCCAAATGAGACAAAGAAATGACTTTTAAATATTAAATAGAAGCTGTGAACATGAAAAACGTCTTTAAAGTCGGACTGAATGGGTGAGGGAGCTGTCTGTGGTGCTGAACCTTCACGGGATTATTAGTAAAAGCTCACTTTTTATACCAGTCAAACCAGAATATAAAGAAATCCATAGTACATGTTATTTACTCTGAGTGAGTCACAGAGCTGCATAGTTAAATATTATGAATCACGTAAATAGGGGACAAAAGTCAATAGGGCCAAACACAAGTTTACATCCTCAAGTTCAACTTTTCCTTTTACAGACCTGAAACATTTCCCAGACTCACACTTAGCTATTCTTAATACACTGCACATTACATAAAGGTGGTCTGGCATAATCACAACAAAGTTTTCTTCTTTTAAAACACTTCAAATACTTGGGGTTGTTAGCTCTGTGTGCACTTGCTGTTCCCTTCTTTTTTAAAGAGGGAGATTATTTCTAAAGGAGCAGCAATTGTATTTCCTGTATTTGCATTTCCTCTGATTCATTAAACAACTCAGTTGTTTGACTCAATTCACTGTGAGCTAAACAAACCGACTTCTATGGTGTTAAATCATGATAGTAGATGAAATTAAAGAAGAAACTTAAAGAAGTCTAGTTTCTTTTCTTTCTAATCTCCTTAGATTACCTATAACATACACAGACAGAGATGAAATGTACTCCCTAAATGTTATCTTTGGGTTCTACAAATTTAGACAATAAGTTATAATATGGGAATCAAAAGAGCATTTTTGTGCTTTGACACACAACAATGCCTGCTAGCAACAGCCTGTAGAACAGTTTGATAAAGAAAATTTGTAAATATCATCTTTCATATGAAACTATGTTGCTGTTTTCACTTTTTCTTCAGGACAAACATGAAAATGAGGAGAAAACGACTTCTTTCAAACACTTTGAGGTCACAAATTATGTAAATCCACACAAATTATGAGCCAACATCAGTAACTTCAAATTATACATCAGATCTCATTTTGATCACAGATGTCAGCCCCATCACACACTGTTTTCAGGTTGCGCTACTAAAAAGCCTACACACTGTATCTTCGTTTAATTACTGGGCCTTAATTCTCAAACACAGCGAGCCTGGGAGATGAATTAAAAAAATGAAATCCAGCTTTCTGGGGAGAGGCTCATTTCCCTCAGGCAGGCGGTGGGGATATTTGGCAGATTTTCAATCGATTCGTCAGACGTTTTCCGCTTGTTTTTCCCTGATATGGACCATGAGTGTGTGCGTTTGTGTGTGTGTGTGTTGGGGGGGGGGGAACAAAAAAAAAAGAAAATTTGTGCAGTTAATTTGGTTGGCAGCCCAGCTCAGCAGCCTCCACATCTCCCTCCAAACAAACAAACCCCACCCCATCCAAAGCAAAGTTAGCGAGGTCAAACACACCAGACTCATAAACTCAACTCGTGTAAAACTTTATTAGCTCTTACACCAGACGTGACCTTTAATTATCAAAAATGTGCCCATTATGGATAAAACGATTCTTCATATCCTGAAAAAGGGGAACGCAGCACTGACATGATCCTGGGTTATGTTGCGGATTAGTGGTGACTCTTCAGCAGCTACAGAACAAATGTGACGCTGACTGTTAAAGGAACAGTTTGACGTCTGAGTAAATATGACTGTCAGAGAAGACTGATCTCACTCGTGCTTTTATGACACGTTATGTTAGTGTTGCATTAATGTATTTGCACTTGCATAGCAGTTTTCTCTCCTTACTGAAAACTCCCGTTTATACAATGGTTTATTCTGTTCACTTTATTTTAAATGCTTTCTTGGGGTGAGGCAGCAGCAGTGTGAACCACTGGACCACAGTGATAACCAACCCAATAAAAGACTGGAAACAGGAGTAAACAGCTGCCTTGCTAACAACCACGATTTTAAAGCAAGTATGTAAATCTGAGTATAAATGTCTGACAACAACTGTCCAGTTGACCGTTTTCTGTTTCCAGCCTTTAAAATAGGATAAGCTTGGTGGTTGCAGACACCAGAGACGTATTGAGCTTGTATCATTCAACTCTCTGCAAACTATTCCTTTAACATTATGTTAAATAAGATAAGGAACAAGGCTCTTTCTTTACATAGCCATGATGTTAGATTAGGTACTTTAACCACAGGAACCTCGACCAACAAAATGAACTCAAAGCAGATAAGAGTTGGTGTAATCTGAGTGAAGACAAACTGTGGCATCTTGTCCATTTATATCAGCTTTTTCCTGAGATCAGTCAAATGTAGAAGAAAAGTAAAGACAGCTGACACAACCTCACCTGCTTGCAAACTTCACAGAGGAAAGGAGACAGTCTGAAGATGTCAAATCTGCTGCAACACTTCTCGAATGTAGAAAAACGTCACTACTCTGATTTTTTTTAAAAGAAAGAAAAAGGCCCCAAGCCAAATGAATTTAATCCAGTAATGCAGCTTTGCAAATGCTGCAGGAGGTTTGACCTCTTCATCTGTCAAATTAGGGGAAAATGAAGTAAAAGATGAGGCAGGTTTAGACAAAGCAAAAAAACACAACTATGTAAACTAAAATCACATTATTAGAAACTCTGGAATGCACTTAAAATATCTGACTAGAAGTCCATTATAGAAAAAAACCAACACATTACAAAAACAATGATGTCAATACACTAAAGAGATTAGAAAAGTTTCCTTTGTGAGCAATAGGTGTTAATGTATGAGTGTGTATGTGTGGATACACTGCAGCACCACCGCCAAATCCCATTTCCATAAATAAGAAACTTTCACAGACATTTCTGCAAATGCAAGTTTGACTTTCATGTGTGAATTTGTCACTCGGAGTAGACGAGCCGTTTCTCCCGACCTTTACGCGTGACTCAGTCACAGCTTTACACATTGGAAATACCAGCAGACTAAGTAGCCTAAAGTAAGTTACGCCCATGTCACACACACTACGAATGAGTGCAAAATAATCATCAGCGAGAACGACACAGGCTGGACTTGTGAGCGTCCTTCACATCTTATTGGCCTTCCAGGTCAGGTAGGAGTTCCAAGCAACAGCAACGACCTGGACGACAGCCAGCCTGCAAGGAGGACGAAATCTGATGTGTCTGGTTTGGATGCAAGTCGGAGAGTTTCATAAAGACGGAAATAAAGGCTTTCTGAGACAATTAAAGTTGGTTTCATGTGACATTTTCACAAGTGAAACAAATGATGTCTTATTTAGACACAGAAGTAGTAAAACTACAACTTCAAAACATGTTTTCAGGTTTAAAATAATCCACTAAGATCAGACAGAGTATGTATCCTAAAAGTGCAGAAATGACTGTGTTAAAGCAGTCGAAATGTAAAAATAAAACCCTTAAGATTTGACTCTGTACACAAGCTTCTTCTGCTCTCACTAACCTTCAAATATGATCAGAGCTCACTGCCTGCATGCTAATGAAGCCATCAAACTCTCACCTGTGGTGCAGAGGGATGAAGTAGAAGTTGGCAATCTGGACTGGAGGCCAAAGCTGAAACAACCAGGAAACATTCAACTGATCAGCGAAACATATTCTGAAGAGATAAAAAGAGAGATTACACTGAACACTTACATAGTAATTAGAGATCAGGGCATCTGTGTAGTCCTGTGAACACAGAAAGAGAAATATTATCATGTCGGTACCAACTGAAATTACTTTAATGAAAAACATTCATGCTAAACTCAATTTATTACGAAAACAATAGAAAAGAAATGGTTATTTTGCTGCTTTCTTTTTCAGGTTCTCGTATCGTCTTCTGTTATAATCAGAGCATCACGCTCCTCTCCACTCCTCTAAAACCCCAAATAAACAAACATGGTCCTGACAAAAGTTCAACACGAGGTTTCAAATGTGAAGTTATTGTGTTAAATTAAGCAACTCTAAAACATAATTTACTATCCAAGAAAGAAGAACTATTTCTTTATTAGCTAGCTCTTCATGTGGAAATCAGAGGACATCCAGAAGAAATGTGACACTGTCCTGTGAGCCTGTAAGAGAAACTCTGTTACAGATTCTAAACATACTTTCTTTTAATAAAAAGTAAACTGACTCAACATCAAAACAATCCCATTAAAGATGTGATTTGGTCCACAGTTAGCAGCACAGATTGTTTTACATAATTGAACAAAGATCTGTTTGTTTCTTTGTTCCTTCATCAAGCTCCTGTTCATGGATGAATATTTTATTTCACATTCACTGCCACAGATCCAAGCTTCTGGCCCCTGAGATCATCAGTTAGATCGTGGATGAACGAGTGTCAGAAGACTTCCTGTCCACCTACCACTGCAGACACTGAGAGTACATTAATTCATGAAAGCTGCACTCCTCTCCCTCAGCCTACTAAAAAAAAAAAAGACAAAAATCTTAAGAGGAAACTTTTAGTTGTATTTAAAAGACAGAAGTAAAGTGTTTCTCCACTCAAACATGACGGACAAACTCGTGACCTCCTGCTTAGGTACGAGGTTCAGCCCTGCAGCGTTTTCCATCAGAACAGTTGAAGCTGCCGGTGGGGGAGGAAGTGAGGAATGCTGATGTGTTCAAACTACAGCTGGTGAGTAGTTTCTGTCCAAACGGAAGGTAAACTGTATGCACGAACACCTTCATCAGCCACACATAAACACACTTTATTTCACTCATTTTGTTAAAACAAGAAAAATGTATTTACATTGTTACAATAAGTAAATAAATATGACGTGTTAATATATTGCTATATTGAAACTTCAGAGTAAAGGTTATATACCATAGTTTCCTTCTGCAGTGAAACAAAGAGCTTCACTTATTTATTTGACACAACATTTATCCACCTGTGTCTGCAAGTCGATTACAGGCTGTGCTGTCAGCACGCTGTCTGATCTATGAAATAAAGCATGCTGCCCTCCTCCACCATCGCCATTCATTGAAGTTAATCTGAAATTTATACAAGTTAAAGTTGGATTCTTAAAAGCTGCGTGCAAGCGTTCATGTAGCCACTGCAGCATATTTACAGGTAGGCCCACATTTTTTTGGACGCTGACACAATTGGCTGTAACTCCTCTATATTTAATCAAAGGTCTGCTTTTAAAGCCCTCATTCATCAGATAACTCTAAATTCAATATACTCTAAAACCCTGACAATACTTTTACAGACCTAACTGGATATTACAGACGATTTGTGTCTGAAGTCTGTGTGTATTGTCTTAAAGCCCTTTGAATCATTGCTCTGACGTTAATGTGACAAAAACAATGCTGACAACATACCTAAACTTGCACATACCATTTAAAGAAAAAAGAAAAGGCTTCTTTTATTTGTTCCCTTATTTGACGTGGTAGAGCTCAGCAAAAAGATTATGAATTATACTTAAAGAAATGTTTTGGCGTGAGTGCGTCGTGTAGCTTAATCATGTTGTCATGCTGGCGATGCAACCTGAAGGTAGAAATCAGGTGTTTGTTCTTAATAAGCAACTTTCTCTCTCAAACACACGATATTACAAAACACACACAGCGAGAAAAAAACCAACCTGTCTACTTAAAGGTCACCCTGACATCTCCTGGCATATAAAACCAACAAGCCAATGTTCCAGCTATAATATTTTTCTGCCTTTTTTCCAGGGTGAAAACAGTGTTTTAATTACGGTCAAACAAGCTAGTTTGCCACCTGGGGTGAAATTACGTCAATGTCTTTACCCACACAAGACGGGACCTTTCTTACCTCTTCTAGGAGCTTTGTAGGATGCAATAAATATGAAGTTTTGTTGTAAAACTTTAGTGAAATACTAAACCCCAAATTCAGCTAAATTATTCATTAAAAATGATCTAATAAGATTGTCTAAACTTTCAAGTTTTGGGATCCAGGTCTTCTCAGGGCAGCACGTGGAAGCTAGATTTGTGTTTGCACTTTGCACACTGTACTGTATATGCAACATCTAACAGAGGTCACACTTTTCTGCTCTTCCTGTCTTTACACTGTGCAGAATATTATGAATGTTCAGACTCTGATCAGTTACACAGCACAGCATGTGGTCTGACCCTGACATCGTGGAGTTGATCTTGGAAGAGAATGACGGCAAACGGAACAACATGCTTCAAAGCCCCAACCTGCCAAGTGCCTCGAAAAACTGTGCAGAGATAAAGTTGTGATGTTTGAAAAACAGAGCCTCACACTTCTCACCTGTTTTTCTCACTTTTCTCCAGCGTACTGTGTTTTATTTTTGAGTAATGACCAAGACTCTGACCAAACAGTTGCAGGTAAAAAGCAGAACAGGTAAACAAGAGAGGCAAAGCTGCGACTGGAACTCTGTCCAGATTTATCAATCACAGCGGCTGTTTGGTCAGAGGCTCCATTCATTTTCATCTCACATTTCCTCAGTGCCAGACCCCGTTGTAACGAGCGCATTTGTCATTTATTTTCTGTCCTTTGTGACATTTACCGGGTTGGCCTTTCAGGTCTGCGCCTCTCCTTTTGTAAATAATTGATGGTGATCAGCAGCATGTTGGGAAAGCAAGGCGGCGACGGGCGTTTGAGCAGCTGGCACAAGATGACAGTTAGCTCTGACCTGGCATACAAACACACACTCGCACACGTATATATGAAGGTATGAGTCACACTGGTTATTTCCACACTCCCTCCCTCCCTCTCTCTCTCGCCTCTTCCTCCATCACAGGAAATAGTTTCCAATAATAATGAGAGGTGAGTGTTGGAGGTCAGATACTGTAGCTACGATGAAAACCAAACTTCCTCTCTGTGTACTGTCGTTTACCTGAGCTGTGTGCGTGCAGGAAGCTTACTGCTCTCTGACCAGTTTGTTCGTCTCAGGTTTAGTTTTAGTGCTTAAAAAGGTCAAATTCATGCCACACAATGACAACTGTAAAACTCTACACACGAAGAACAAAGAAAGGAGGGTTCGACGAAGACTTTGCATCTGAAATCTGAATCATAGATTCTTTTTTCTATGTATTTAAATGCAATTTTAGGGTAACACAAAGTAATTTATCTGTGCAATTCAAACTGATACCTTTCAGGCTTTGGATAAACCTGTTTTTACGTGACGATGTAACATTTATAAATAAAAAATGAGCTGAAGACACATCAGGTCAAACTCTAACCTTTTACCTCAAGTGGAGTTTTTCAAATTGATCAACGTCACCTGGAAGATTTTCCACATCACTACAATACTGATGGACTCATTCAACACAGGGTTAAAGGTGACCATTAAAAATGGTCAGAAAAATGTCAAGCAACTATACCAACCCCCAGTTTATTGCCCTAACTGCTACCAAGCTTCTTTTTGAGGCTCATTAATGCCTTTTTTCAGACTTACACTTCACAAGGGTCAAAGGGTGAGAGACACATGACACAGAGTTATTTCTAGTGTTTTGCATGTTATTTCCCATTTTACACTGGATTGTTTTTCCGCTGGGTAATGATGTTGGGAATGAATCATGACAGGGTACTGAAATAAAACTCACTCACCCTCCTGAGCTTGGTGACGTTCTCCTCGACTGTCAGTCCATTCAGCGCGCCAGAGATGCAGAGGAAGGCTCCCAGAAAGCACGGTGCAAAACACAGCTGTAAGGAAACAAACCAAAAAAACAAGAAGAAGAATCATAAGTTAATCATAAGTGTAACTGCTGTGGCCTAAATCAGCAGATTTCAGGTCAGTTTTATTTAAAAAGCTCCCCTCTGGCAGTGTGACATCAACCTAAACTGAGCAGTAAACGTGCAACCTAAAAACAGAACATGACTTTTGATTATGAGAAATTGGGTGATAAATATCTAATTAATCTACTTGTGACAAAACATTTTCCTGCAGCACATCTGGAAAAGGAAGTCTTTAAAGAAACATCATGGAGGATGAAATCTTTCCTTCGCTGTCATTCTTCTTTTTGTCTTACTTTCTTGATGTTTCATTTCCTTCGATTGTATTTGTTTTTCCGAGGATCTTGGGATGCTTAGCTGCTACTCCATAGAAGCTGATGGAGTCCAGAAACAAAGTAACAAACTGAGTCTATAACTAAGTAATAAAATACATACCAGTGATAATCTAAGAAATCTGAAAGACTGAGGTTAAACTGTTCCTAGTATGAATCTTACATGAACAGTCACTCGACGCTACAGCTGCATCACCTTAAATCTTTCAAGTGCTGCTGTTTGTTATGCACACTGAGGTGAAGCGAGCAGCGCTGACAGTGCGACTGGATCACTATTCAAGCGTGCAAGTGAACCCTTTGCTCCAGTAAATATTTTATTCAGTAACAAGCAGATACTGCTTTTTTTTTTTTTTTTAAACATTGTGCTCTGCTGCAGTTTCACTGAAACACAGCAGGGGGCAGCATGAAGCTACCAAAAATGACTCGTTTTTAGACATTTACAAAAAAGTTGCATTCCAAGTTTATGCTATATAATTTTATTGATATATTTGTGTATCTTAATCTAAAGTTAATGATTCATTCAGGAAGCATGAGGTACAGATTATAGTTATGTGCAACTAGTCGACTGAACATTTAAACGTTGCAGCTTTTGCTACTCAATGCCAAAAATGATAGTCAGTTATATTCAGCAATATTATTATTTTATTAAATTACGACAGGAATTCCTGGTTCAAAGTTGTTCTACCACCATCGGCCACTCCCTGGGGCTGAACCCTGTTTCCTCTCTTTCTATGAATGAAGCAGTAAATAAACAGAGGCTTAAACTAAACAGATGACAGCTGTTCTGCAGCACTTATAAATCAATCAATGCAAACTAACTGTATATCAAGCTTTGTCAGAATAAACTGGAATATAACTAAGCAACCGAAGTCAGGTGTAGTCAAACTGCACCTGCAACTCTTAACTAATCTGACATCACATGTGTTTGAAACATTATACAAAGTAAACAACATTTCAAGTATGTTCTGCTTTAGATAGTTTCTTAGGTTTTTCTATCAATTAGGCTATTAAATCTTTTTTTTTGGCTGTCTCATTTAAACAACTAAATGAGCAACTACAAAATACCAGTGCTACCACTCAGCACCCTAGTAGATACACCCAAGGTATTAATTTGAAAATCCTCTGTAACTTCCTTCTTGAGTTATCGCATTCACAAACGTGGGTGTCCGCACCGCCCGCTCACCCTGTAGATGACAACAATACCCCACCAACCTACAGCTGAGGGGCAAAAACTGGAGCTCTGTTGCATAACTCAGCCTCTCGGCTCAAAAGCTTCACAAAAAGGGAAAACAGTCTGCTAACAAGAGTTTCCTCCCATCAGGACAACAAAGACTCATCTGTCAGTCAAAACGATCTCAGCAGTCAGGATTCATCCACTCTGTTTGCCACAACTAACAAGCTCAGTGCGAGTGGCGAATACACACTTACACACAGAGAGCTGTTTTTATTGCTGAGCTGGTGTTCGGTTTGCTTTGCTGAGAAGAAGAAGAAGAAGACGACCATTAAGGGTCCTTAAGTTGCTCGTCTCACCTGGTCGACCAGCATTTTCTTCATGGCAGCGCTTTTGGTTCCTCCAACAACCAGTCGGTCCAAAACCTTGTACCAGCTGCCGATGACAGGGCCCTTTATTGCAACAGAAATAAAATTACTCTTGAAATCGCCCACTTAATTCTCTTCTAATATCTTTATCTGCAATGGAAGCAGAAGACCGATGATGGATTTCATGAAAAATAAAAACATCAAATCTTTGCTTTTTGGTTTGTGCATTAAATATTCAGCCATTTATTCCCAAGGAACTCACAAAATGAACCAAAGTTAACAACTTGCTATGTGAACTATACAAACCTTTGTGTCTAATTGCAATTTTCTGTAAATGTGTGTCCTTCACAAATCAACACAGGTCCACAAGAGAGAAACTGACACTGACATGGAGTTTGTTCAAAATCAGTCAAAATTTAACAATATTTCTACAAGGTGCAATCACAAAGTTCTAAATTGCTGCTGATAAAATTAAAAAACATGACCTGGCTTAGATTTGGGTTCTCTCCTCAGACTGCTGACAGCTCAGCTGCTGTTTTCAGATCACTCCTCCTCAAAGTCACATTGTTGTGTCCATAAAACTACAGAGTACTTCTTGAAATCAAATTCTCCAGCTTTTATAACACCACTGTGGGCTGTGATCCTCGTTGGCCAGATCAAGGAAAGTATTTATTAACAAACCCATCATACTTGCTAGTTTTGGCCCACTGCAACTCCTTCCTGTTCCCAAAATAAAAGTTACAAAGATGGACTGACCTAGTGGGGAACCAAGGAAAGTATAAGACTCCAGCTGAACACCAAACAAAAAACAGACGTCCAGAGGTGCAAAAAAAGATGATGTTGAAGATGAGACTGGATAAAAATCAAGTATTTTTTGTTTGTTTGGGGGGGTTTTTATGTGCCGAGTCCTGTAACTCTGTGTTTGCATCTTGCAGAAGATGCACAAGTAACAACAGAACAGGGAATTCTTCTCCACTACCAAAAAATACAAAATTTAGGTCATAAAGGTACAAAAATCGTGTTTTATCAAATTTTTACATTAAAAGTTTTACATTTTAAATTAATGTCCAATTTTAAAAACATTTTCCAAAAGAACTCAGCAGCTTTCTGTCAACAGCTTCCCTCCTTAAACGGAAGCACGAGCAGGCTGGCTGAAGATAAACCGAATTCAACCAACAAATGGATGCATTATTTATGTGAAGGAGAACGATACATGATGCATGAATATAGGTGCCAATAAACATGTGTCTCAAGTCCTGTGTGTGCTGAATAGCCACCCTCCAGACAAGACTAAATATCCATACATCTTGCGTGTATATTTTTATACGATGGAGGAGCTTCAGATAATTACGGAAACATAAATAAACTTTGCCTTCGTCACAGCGACGTCAGAAAGAAATGAGCTACTTGGAGGGCGAATTGTGCAGCTGTCACAGTTAGTGAAATACTGATGAATTAAACATACAAAGACATGAATGAGTGGTATACAACAAGTAACACAGATCAGACAAGTACATCATGAACACACACACTTAAAGTCATTAATTACAGATGCACAAACAAGCAGGAATCTTTTTTTTCCATGAACACAATAATTTTGCTTTATATTAACTTCACTGACATAGATCGAATCAACGGAAACACATCACGCAGTTTAAGTTAAACTCTAAATTTGCACAGCACAGTGTTGTACAGTGTGTTATCTGCACAGCAGAAGGCCTGCCTCTGTATGTTTAAAACTTTGTTTTAAAATGTTGACTTTGTTTTACAAAGGTGCTCGTTTGGTGTCCTCTGAGGTGGCAAAAGAAATCTTACAGAAAACCTTCCATATTGTAAATCCCCTACTGCATTATATCATATATAACTAGTTAGCACTATGTAGCGTAACACACAATTTCGGGACACAGCATTTGGGAATGACTGCTGTGAGTAACTGTGGTTGTCTATAATAAAGAAGCATGATTCAGTGGTTGAGTTTGGGAACGTTTCTGTATGAAATGACTTGGAAGTGTCAGCATAGCGACCACAATAACAAATGTATGAATTTTCCAAATCCTTTGTTTCCCTTATCACCCCCTTTAGCAGAGGACACACTGAACCATCATTTATAAAAGAAAAGGAGATAATGCCTCCCATGATAGCAAATTTTAAACACATTTGATTCTATGATGCAGTTTTTATGTCTTGGTGAGCGCTAATTACTGTTTTAAATGCTTAACATAATGACCCGGGTATGCACCGACAGGCATCACAAAAATGGCTGCTGAGAGGCTAGACTTGCTTTCATATGAACTAAAATATTATTTTATTTCATCATGATTCACACAGTTTCTCTAGATCTAAAAAAAATCAAGCATGTAACACCTTTTTAACAAAATAAAATCAAAAGTATTTAGAAAATTTTAAGAAGTAAATGAACTGAGAGTCAGAAGGATACTTACCACAAAGAAGAAACCAATACTCATCATCTTAGCCGTCCTCTGCACGTTGTGGTTAGCCAATCCTCTCCTCTCGATCAGCTGCTGGGAGATGACATCACCGACACCCACTAAAGACCCTGGAGGTCAAACAGAGTTGATACTGCATCTCAGTCCCCTGAGCACGATCGTCTACAGATATGATCCGTGCAGACATGTTACTGTTCCTGCAGTGAGAATCTGATTAGGCAGCACTCTTGTAATTACTGCATAATAACCGCAAATATGCCAAAAAATGTATTCAAAGAATAAACTTTACTGTTAATATTGAAAATAATGTGTTAAAATACTTTATAAGCCTTCCAAAATTAACAAAAGCTCCCAACCAAATGTGAACTACTAAAAAATCTGCATTGTCTTAAAGAGATATCAGCTGAAGTCAAACTCAACCTGGAAAAAAGGAAAAGTTTCTTGAGATCAAATTTTAACACAACTTGTGATAAAATGCTGCCACCCAGTGGTGAAAGTTTAAGTGACATTTTGCAGGGGGCGTTTACAAAAAGTATCTTTAAAATGCAACAAAACAGTCCAAAAGTACAAACTCCCATCAGAGTTCAACTTGGCGATGGTCACGCAATATGTCCCTCAAACAGACTCAGTTGTTTTTCTTCTCTGTAATTTATCTTACCAATATAAATTATTTATATGAACAAATGAGATTTCATAAGGATTTCATCACCGAGCTCGTCTTCATTTGTTTCACACTGTTTATTAGCAGGCATTAAAGGGTTGTCACCAACAAGCCACCATTAACTCATCATCATTGTGTTTTTACTTTGAACTTGGTGCCATCCATGAATTTCCTGAGTCACTGCTAATTTTTTATTTATAAACCAATTTTAGAAAAACAATCCTGCTTAACACTGCAGAGATTTCACAGAGGTCCTCTTCAAGTCTTCTGTTTGTTTCTAACAAAAATCCTTTAAAAAAAAAAATAATAAATTGGTCCAGCAACTCATTTAAAGGCCTTAATATCTCCAGCTTGAGTCAGGACCGCAGTAAGCTCTGGGGTAAATTACTCCACTTATTAGCTTTTCACTTTATTATAGTGGGCAGCTAAAACTTCTTGGGTTTGGTACAGACGTGTCACCTCTCATCCTTGAGGCTTCTTCAGTTCTAAAGAAAAATGGTGGAGAATCCTAAACATTTAAGTCCTAGTGAAAGTTGTGCCCCTTGGAGGCAGCCCCGACGGTCGTTGACCAACTACTGATTTATGCTTCAGCAGGAAATCTACACCACAGTTATGTAATCACAGTAAACCCCTCTGAACCCCTGTGCTGTAACCTGACGTGCAACCTGCAGATGTAACTACATGTTAGGTCGATGCTGGCTGTTCAGCTCCATTGATTAGGAATAATAATCATAGTATCAGTATAAATACTCACAATTGTCAGCTGATTAGACGTCAGCTGGACATAATGGAATAATAATAAGATAAACTAAATTCATGTGTCATAACATGTAGTTATAACAAAAACAATTTAAAAACAGACCAACTGCTCAGAAATTCATGTGTCAACACTAACCTCAAATCTTTCAATAAATTTGGGTTGTTTTTTTTCGTTTCTTTTTTTGTAGGAAACTGAATACAAACTGAAATTAAAAACTTTGAAAATGCATGAAGACTGTCAATAGGGAAACTGATTTTTTTTTTTTTTAATTCCTCAGAGAGGCTCCTTTTAGCTGCTCTAGCTGCAAGGTCAAACCTCTGCCTCTATCTAGTGGCGACTAAATAGTACTGCAAACAGTACTTTAAAACTACAGCCTTCTGAAAAAGTAAAGGGTTAATGCAACACTAACTGCTTAGGTTGGATCATTTACATCTGAAACTTGCTCCAATGTGTGAATCCACCAGAGCTCTAAAAGCCATTTTCAACGCTATAAAATCCAAAAGTGCTACACAACAGTTACAGAAATATTTTTGGTCTAATACCTGCATCATATTAAACTCATCAGCATGCTTTAGCTCTCTGTATAATGTTTTAGACATTTTGGGCAAACAGAGTTCAATTCAAATGTTTTTGTGTGTTACATCAATATATTTATGGTTTCGTCTGGATGTTCTGATCACTTATCCTGTAAAGGTATATGCAAACTTGATGTTCTCATGAGTATGTACGACTCTACAACCTTCTTGAATAGATGTACATATCATACACATATTATTGATTCTTTTTTCATTTGCTTTTATTCCTGATCACAGTACAATGACCTTTAGCCTGTGTCTATTTGTACACTAAACTGGAGCAAAGGTTTGTAAAGTCAACCAGAAGTTGAAACGGGACCCTTCATTTTATTTTAAATCAACAAAGGTCAGTGTATGGTGTACCCAACTGCACCTTCTCATGTGACATCTGTCTGCAGCTTTTCTACATTTACGTTTGCGCATTCAGCGTGTAACTTATTTTTATGTCAGTGACAAGGTTGTCCTACCCGCTGTCACTATCTGGACTGTCCAGGGGTATTTAGTCATCAAGGCCTGGTAGCCTCTCCAAAGGCCTGCCATTCCTCGTCCTAGGAAGAAAGAAAAATAAAAGCTTGTTGCAAATGCAGACTTTTCTGCTCAATCACCCCGCCCGCCGGTTGTAACGTGATTCAAATCAAGTGATACCACTAACAAGTTCCATTAAACTGTCCATTAGTGATTGCCAATTAGTTTAAACTTCGGGCTTTTTTTTAAAGATTATTTCAGGGTTTTAAAACACTTAAATGTATCCAAGACCTATATCGAAGAGGTTAGCTCACTCTTTCAAATTCAGTCAAACGGCTAGCTAATCCTCTCCATTCAGTTACATCACACTTATGGTCAACTGCTGACTCAAAGTTAACATGTATTAAAGTATTCGTGTTTCGGTAAATTTTGTCAATGCCGAATTCTAACACTGGGTCTAACATTTTCTCTCAAGCTACCGAAGTTGTTAATAGATGCCTAGTTTTACGACAGCTTAGATTAACTGTAAAATCTATTTTTTTATGACGTTTGGCTTGAGGCTCGGTCTCGTGCTGGCTGGCGAAGCTAACGTTGCACGGAACCTACGACTTGCACAGTGCGTCATTAGCGTCTCCAAATCACAGCACTAACATTTAATCACTCGTTTAGCTTACGAAACCAAACTAAACTGCACTCCTAACACACTGTAGCAACTCAGTTTAAATCAAGAATAACGAACTGCTGAGTCTTTCATCGTTTCTGTAACTTTCCGTTTAACATTATTGCAGCTGCTGTTTAACTCACCTTTAAAGCTCACCGTAGTTAACTTAAAGGTCCGTAAACTAGCAAGCTGCGGTTAATGTAAATAAAACTGTACACATGCCCGGCTTCCCCGAGGAAACAGGCGGAGATGCTTTCACGGCACGGAATCAGCTCCGACTTTGCAGTACTCCAACTGTACAGCACAGAAAAATATGAATACAAATTTATGTGGTATACTGTTGTTTCTATTTTAAATACACTTACTTCTTTAGGCTTAGCTCATATCAGTTACATTTTTACAGTTTAAACAAGTTGTCAATCAAGTTGGGTCTTATTAGTCTCAAGTTTTGTATTTATTATATTGGTAATTCTTCCAGTGCAACAATTTAAAAAAACCTGGTACACAATTAAAGGTCTTCTAAAAATTCCAATACAATAAAAAGGGGATCCAGGTAACACAGACATGTAGGCTTCCCAGTCTCAAAGATATTTCCTGAATTATTTTAGTATTTTAAGTACACGATGTTTTTATTAGTTTATATTAACTCTATATTATTGTCATTTCAGTTTATTTAAGTGATTTTTACAGATTACTTTAGAGTTTACTTAACTTTGACTAACACAGTATTCATTACATCTGCGTAAATTGATTAGTAATCAACAATTTATTTAGCTTTGTTGCAAACGATAAGGGCAGAAGAAACCGTGATCTACTACGACCAGTGAAGACAGCATAGGAACTGTAGTCTGCGTCAGTTCCGCTGTACACAATAACATAGGCACACCCCTGCCCTCTAGAGGACAACTCCAGAATAACAACATGACAGGAAGCAAATTGCAATGATTTTTATTCTGTTCAAGTGAAGTGGCACTTACGATAAATGAAACAAAAAAGAAAGAAAAGTTATTACAATGGGACTTCTGGTTTACAAACAGGTGTAACTGGCATAAATATGACAATGGAATGGCTTACCAGGTAACCAAAATGTAAATCACTCAAGGAGAGGTCAATACTGTCCCCAGAACACATTTTTCAAGTAACGTGTTGTAATTTGCTCTAACGTGACCTTTTTTATTGACTCAGTTTGCATAAAGTCAGAAGAAATAGAGTTATTTGAGAGCACGGGGTGTCAAACATGCAGCCCGGGGGGAACCAGAACCAGGTCCATTTTGGCTCATTTGATGACTTCACAAAGTGTAAGAACTGGGAGAGATCTCAGCTTCACTAGCAAGGAGTGACAACATCTGAAAAGTTAATAGTTTTAAATCTAGACAAGTTAACACTTTCGTCATTGGTAACTGAAATGACAACAGACTCTGTGAATGTGGAAAAGCTGAGGCATACTGTTGAGATTGCACTTTTGTAGGATGCAGAAAATGTAGTTTCTAAATGGACGACCCATTAAACAAGAAAATGTAAATTAACAACAAGTAACGAGGGAGTGGGGTAACTGGTGTGGTGTGCTAGGGACAGGGTGAGATAGGGGCCGATGTGGTGACCCTGAATTGGAGCAGCTGGAAGAAGAAGACAAAGACGACACATACATAATCTTACGGGCGTGGCTCACTTAAGATTATTTGTGGCCATTCGTGGGCTGTGAACTGATGTTTGACATCCCGGCTTTAGAGTTTTGCTCACAGTGGACATTTGGCACATGTGTAACAATATCCACACAGCTGCTGCTCCTGCTCCCCAAAGCCTCATCATCAACTTTACTCGCTTTTTGGTACCAGCTTCCCACTTCACCTCAACGTCGAGAAGAGCAGCCATCACAGCAAGGTGCAACATTACACGAAGCAAAACACATGAAGAGCAACGATGGCACGTATGTGGCTTTGGAAATGCAGAACTTCAGCATTTTCTTAGCTTGCTTAAAAAACCAAAAATGGTGGTACCAAGAATCAGTCGCACTGTGTGGTGGAAATGAGGCCTTGTAAGGAGCAGGTACGCAGGTGAGGCTTTTAAGCATTGAAGCACCTGAAAGAGCTCAATTTAAACTGCTTTTAAATCTGTGTTTCTCAAATCAAACTGTCATTAAATAAAATGATACGGCACTGGATAAGAGCACAGAACTGAAAACATATAACATGCAAACAACATTTTCATGATGCAGTTTGAATAAACATCTGTTATGTGTTGAATGTGTGAAGAACCCTCATACAATACAATAAATAAATAAGAAAACATTTTTTAAAAATGTCTGCAAACAGAAGCAGTGTGTGGCATTTACACGTGAAATGCTACTAAGACTTAAAGCCAATCAAAATCTGGGAAATCTTAATGCAGCTCTGTTTTAAATCAAAACATTATAGCAGCAAAGACCCCTGCTGTCATTTGGTTTAAGATGTTTTCTGTTGATGAGAATCAATAAAATCTCACAGTAACAGGGGCTTCAGGTCAAGAGCTGACAAGAAATACAGTACAAAGCATTCCCTAGTTGTGTGTTGATTCAATTAGCAGCTGAAGCTTGGCAGAAATGTTTAAAATCTCAAAATTTAAATTGCTTCAATAAAAAAATAACTAACTGGGATATCCTGGCTCTCTTATTGCTGTACAGGAACCATAAAGTCAAAGACACTGAGAAAAAACAATTTAACAGGAGAGTAACCGAATAAAAAGGAAGCTAAACCCTTTCACCTTTTCACTCGGTCAGTCTTCTTCAAGTATGAGTCGTTGCTGTCCCTTTCAGTGGAAGTCGCCTGAGATAAAAGTGTTTTACAGTACAGACAGCTGCAGCTTCAGCAGCAAAGCTGGAATACACTGATTCTTATGAGAGCTTTAAGCTAGGAGAGAAAAACACCAAGCTACACCGCTAACTAGGCCAGACGCATCACCTCCACGCTCGCCTTTATGTATGTGCAAAGCGAATGATAACATTATTATTGACTGACCCAGCACCAGGAAGTGACCATTTTCATAAACTGCTTATACATCATTATAACTGAGCGTCGCTGGAGCTGGATCTTCCAGTTAACTTAGCGGCTGAGTTTTAAAATCTGTCAATTAGTCATTTTATTTACATTATGCAGGTTATGATGGTCAGCTTTTCCAGTAAACTGATGCAAATCTAAACATCACCCCTGAAGGCTCACGGGCTGCAGCTTCAGCAACAAAAACACATCACTGGCAAAATTATTAACACCAGAATTAGTTCTCTTTTTCAATAGGTAGCTTTAGGTTTCCCCTTTTTAAATTATAACTTAATGGTATATCATCTTTTTAGAAGCATCCCGCATCCTGCAGGACAGCTAACGCTTTCAACTTTGGCTCCTGACATTTTTAATAACCAAACTGACCTTAAAGTATATCATTGTGAATGGGAAGCAGTTTGTAGAGCAACAGCTGACTGTTCAGGAGGACATCAATGGCACCAATCAGCTGTCTTCTTCTTCCAGTGACTAAGTGCTTTTGTAACAACCCTGCACCTCCATGATTGGCCCTCTCTCCTCAGAACTCCATCCCCTCGTCACTTTCACACCAGTCCGACGGAGCATCGGTGCCGAAGTAACGATCTCCGAAATTCCCTGAGAGGAGCAGGTGAAAGAAGACAGGACAGAAAAAGTTGGACTTTTCTTTATTGCGTTCTCTGTAGTGGGTGACATCCGCTGCGAATATGGAAGATTTTAAAGAACATAACTGCCTTTTTTTTTTTTACCTTTTTCCTAACTTAATAAGATTATACAGAGAGGCTCATTTATAATCACAGTGGGAAATTTCTAAGATCATTTTTGCACCTTTGCTGCCACTGATTTGGATGTGAGACTACAGTGTGTATAAAGAACAGAGCTCTTTCGAGCAAATGTTTACATTGTAAACCTTCCCAATAACTCCCTTTACCTTGCTATTCAAATATTTATAATCCTGGCTAATAATCTACTTTAAATAAACCTAAAACACACCACTTTTCTGTGGCTTTCCCAAACTCGCAAACACCCTGCAGCCGCTCTGCTGGTGCTAGATTTTGTCTGCAAACGGTAAGGCTTTCATCCATGCAGCAGTGGTTTTGTACTTTGTGTAATTCACAGATGATTTACCTTTTAATGCCTCTTATTGATTTATAGGTGACCTTTTCTTCTAGCCTCCCACTGTTTGTCAATAAAGGCTAAAAAATACATTTCAAGGCCAGAGTGCAAAAAAAAAAAAAAAACTTGGTTGTTGATCTCTTCCAGCTCTGCAAAGTCCATTAATTTCTTCCATTAAGGCCTCTGACACAGTCCTTGTTTCTTATCAGGACACTTTACCCTAGATATGCTGTCAGTAAAGTTTCTTAACACACTGCTTTTTTTTGTTTTGGGCAAAACCAGAAGATTTATGGGGCTAATTATGCTTAAAACTCTATAAATCATGTTAATCGTCTATTAAAACTACAATGTTTTTCAAACAGATGATAAATGAACTTTGATAAAGCCAGAGTGCATGTACTCACCGATGCCTGGTATGATGTGGAACTGGTCGTTGACCTCCTTGTCTACGGCGGTGGTGATGATCCGAACTTTAGGGAAGGCGTAGGCCACCGAATGGACCCCCATCTCAGCCATCAGCAGGGACAACAGGAAGATCTTATCCTCAGCTACATCGTGGTCCTTCATGTGGAGAAACACAGAACTTATTTCTAGATGATGTCGGTGAAAGAACACATCCAAGCAGAATGAATAATTTCATATATTTACATAATAACTTCGGCTTCATTAGCAGCATCACAGGGTAATAAATACTAATGACCTGAGCCTGCACAATGTTTGATAATGGATAAAATAAATCACCTGTAGGACTTTTATTAAACTGATGGTATCTTTTAAAAACAAGCATTTCATTGTTTCCCTACCCTGAAACAGACGCTTCAGCCCTGAAGGGTTGGAGCTGGCCAAACAGCCTAATCCCTGCAGTAATCACACTAAGGTAGCTTAGAGAGAATTTAAAAACATCAGCACTTTTTAGGACACCAGTTTTCACCTTTATTTAACCAGGAAGTGAAAGTCTGTTAGCATAACAATGTCTTTTTGCTCTTGGGTCAAGAAAGGCAATATTAACCTAGCACGTATTTTGAGGTACGAACAACTGAGCCGTGAAGATGTGGGGCCAACCTACCAGCAGAACTCTGACCGCCATGAGCGCAGCAGCTCCAGTGGACACGGTGCTGTCCATGAGGATGACGTAGTCTTCACTGATGTCTTTGGGCAGACGAAGGTAATGAAGCTGGAGGATGGAGAGAAAAAACAGTGAGAAAGCTTATTAAATCTATACAACATAAAAATCTAACTTGTACAATAATTAGCACTGTGGGAAAAAAATAAATCAAACAAGCAACTTAAATCCTGTTTGGACAACAGAGTCGGACATGAAGAACCAGCTAGATCTGACATGTAAAATTGTGTTTTTAATGTTGCCACACTGATAAAACTTTTATAGTATTGCCTAAAACACACACACACACACCTCTGGTTCTCCTGTGTCATGATTGGTCTGAATGAGGATCTTTCCAAGTCTGATGTCTTTACACACAGCCATCAGAGCCTGCTCCATGGTCTCTCCCGCCCTCAGGATAGAAACACCCGTTATCTGGAAAAACAGACATTTTTGTGAGGTTTATTAGAGCGATGCAGTTTATCTGGACCAGAAAACACTAAAAGGTTTAAAATTTATGTGCACTTAAACCTTCGGCTCCTCCAGATCTTTACATATGTGCAAAATTATCATCTTAAGTTAAATGTCCTCTTATTATAGTAACTGTTAATGTCATCTTAAAGGACTTACTCTGTTACCGCACAGCCTCTTCCCCTCATAGATGCTACCCTGTGGCGTTTCCACAGACACTGACTGCAGAGGAGGAGAAAGAGCCAAGAGGAACAAAAGGAAATTAAAGGCTGAAGTAAAACAATCTTAGCAAAATCCCAAAACGTTGAATCTGTTCATCTGGACGTAGCATTTTCAGTGGGAGAAACATTTCGTCAATCAGTCTGAAAACGCGACGTCCAGATGAATGGATTCAACCTAGCTGGATGACTGAGCATGCATCAAGACAAATCTTGGCAAGAGTTGATGCTGCTACTATTAAAAATGTTATTAGTAGACTTCCTGTCCAGAACAGAAACGCCAACCTGCTACGGAGCTTAAATAAGCAACAGTAAAAAAAATGTGCTCTACAGCAGCGGTCCCCAACCTTTTTTGCGCCACAGACCGGTTAATGCCCGGCAATATTTTCATGGACCGGCCTTTAAGGTGTCACAGATAAATACAACAAAATAAAACTAGTACCGGTACTGAAAAAAAGAACATTTATTCATAACACACATGAAAGACCCAGGAAAACCGAGTAAACGATAAAAACGATAACAAAATAACGCTGAAAACCGATAAAAACCCTGAAAACCATACATTTCACACCTGAGACTCAACTCTCGCGGCCCGGTACCAAACGACTCACGGAGGCCCGGGGGTTGGGGACCGCTGCTCTACAGGAGTAAGAGCAGGAGTTCAGTTAAAAATCTTCATGCAAAAACTCACCTTGAGAGGCAGGAAGGAGAGGGCATGCTCTATCAGGAGCCTCATTAATCTCTTGGAGTAGAAGATAAACTCATCTCGGTTAGTTTCCCTGTTCCTACACAAACACAGACGGCAGATGCAAACAGGATGACCCTCTGCTTTTTTATATTTTTTAAAAAGAAAAGATTTTTTTATGGCCTAATAAAAAGTCACCATTACACTAGCAAGCTCCTGTTTGATTATAATTTTTAAAGAAATAACTTTTAAATATTTTCTTCTCGTGATCCACATCCCAACTGCAGTGGCTCTATAGCTCACCTGTGCTGACTGCACCACACAAGCACTGGTTTAAATGATCTGCTGCACACTGTTAGGTTTACTAAAAAGATATAATGAAACATGATGTTATCGTGTTTATCGTCGTGTTTAACCTGCAAGTTTAAAGTCTGGTAATACTGGGCAAAGAATTGACAGGAAGTGATTTATTTTGAAGTGCAAGGAAATGTCGTCTCCACTTTGTTGCCATCTTCAGTGAATTTATGAAGGCAGCGGGCAGCTTTAGAAAACTGTCACTATAGAAAGGTCCTGTCTCTTATTTTATTTTGAAGTGGTGCCCACAGTAGGCCTGTAAGAACGTGTAAAGTACGAGAGGTGGTTTGGTTGCAAATCTGCAGCTTCACAGCTAGGTGTCTCTAAATCCTACTCACTGGCCAATTTTAACAAGACTTTGCTTGTGAAATGAGCGTATGAAAGAGTGTTCGTTCTGACCTGATTATGGTGTGCATGCCACGGACTTGTGGCGTGCTCTCCATCACGCTGAGGGTTTTGGGTAATGGCTGACCCTGGTGAGCCGAGGCCAGAGCCGATCTGCGGCAAACAAAACACATTCATGCATCCAAAGTAAGAGACGCGTCTACATTCATTCAACTAAATACTTTTACTGGATTTGCAGGTTAACTAATCAGAACCAATCAGTTCATTTTTCATCTCTTTTTTTATTATTCTGAAAGAAAATATTGAAAACAAACTAGTATTGTAGGTTCTGGAACAAAAAGGCTGGGTATTGTACAGCTGCTCAAATATGTACTAATACAAATGTAACCTAAAATCATTTCATTAATTCAGAAATTGATTTAATTTGTACTTATTTGTTTTTTTTTTTTTATATTTAAGTGACATCTAATAATCATCCAGCATAGTGATGTAATCAGTCAGCTGACCGATGAGCCAGAGCTACCCTGATGTAAACAGAAAGGCTTCAATAGATGCACATCAGTTCTCATATCTGCTGTTTAAAAAAGGTTCAAGTGTCATTTTCATTAACTGCCTTGAAATATCAAATCTGTAATCAATGAGCAACTTTTTACACCAATAATCACAAAATCACACGACACAGAACGATGCTCAAAGAGGTTATATTAAGAAGCTGCAAGCATCTTAAGTCCTACCACTACAGAGAGTGCACTGCTTACAAACACCAACGACCAAACGCTCTGCAAAGCAGACATTTTAAGGTTAACTGATGAGGGGCCGGTTTCACAAAGATAAGCAGAGTTTCCTTTTTTTAAATAAATTAGCCAAGGCGTCCATCCATCTCACCAGTCTGTGTAGATATTAACTGCTATAATCAGGACTAATGTCAGTGGCACTGCTTCCTACACGAACGATAAACATGTAGAGCGGGCGGCTCTACGGGATTACAGCGTTTGGCCACCCCAGCATAAGCATGAGGCATCTTTGTGTAACTCGCCCCACATTACACAGTTTAACAAGCCTTTTTGATTTTAAAGCAAAAGTCGAGAAAGAAGCTGATTCTGTGTGTCAGCTGCCAGACTTTTAGAAACACAGCATTAAAAGCCTTGCTTTATTTAAATCAGTGTTCCCCCTCAGACACTTCAGGAATCGACAGCATCGCTCTGAGGGGCAAATTCAGAGTGCAAAAGTACATGTCAATAAATGAAGGACTTGATCCTGCCCTGGCTTTTCACCTGATGTAGAGTCTTTAGATTTAGAAACTGTGGACTCTTCAACTCTATTGCTCCATTGTTCGTGGCACTGGAAGCTTTCATAAATCTAGCAAGGCTTTTGTTCTCAGAACGTTTTGGTCATAATGCCAGATAAAAGTTTGCACTTAAATAAATCAATGCGTGCCATGACCTTGAGGCCACAAACAGAAAAACAATAAAAGCAATCATGAAAAAATTAAAAATTTGGCATATGTGGCGCATACCGTTTCAAACACATGCTACTTAGAATACTAAAGAGCAATGAAACTATTCTGCTTCATGCACACTCTGCTGTTGAAAAATACAGCATGCTTTGTTTTAATTGTGCACAGCTTAGATTAATGGAACTGTGACATTTGTGGAATCAAACCCAGCAAACGTGTCGGTTTAGCTACAGTCAGAATATGTAGTGCATAGTTTAACAAGTTAAAAAGGCTTGAGTGCATTAAATCTAAGACTACAAATCTGTATCTTTAAAGACTACAACAGTGAAAAAAGGTGCACGAGGTGAGGCTCACATATCCCAGCGCATCTTCCTCTGAAGAAGGTGACAGATATTTGTTTGGTGAGATTAAGTGTTTAAAGGTGAAGGCAGGAGGAAACACAGGGAGGAAAAAAAAACAAAACAAAAACACACACACACACAAAGGGACAAGAGGAGGAAAAAAACAAAACAGAGAAAGGAAGAGAGAGAAGAGTATTAGCAGTGAAACAGCTTCACCACATTGCTGCTGTACAACACCGAAAAAACACATTCCAGCTCTGCACTGAGGAGCACGCTCACTTCAATTTATCTCATGAGTGGGGTTCGCTTAAGGTGACTCAACTTCAGAAACTGGGATTAGTTTCAGTAAAAGCTGTGAGGGCAGCCGGAATTTCTCCATATTCAACAAATCCATCTAAGAGCTGACCTTAGATTTGCTGAACCATTTAACCCACTGAAACTTCAGCTGAAGTAGGCTTGCAAATTCATCTTCGTTCAAGGGTGAACTGAAGGTTTCATCTCACACATACAGGAGCACATGACCACCTGTGATCACACATAATTTAGGTCTCCACTCCAGCTTTTCTGCAAGTTTACAGCATCCTGTGGACACCAAAAACTGATCTTTCTCCTCTATCCTGCACCATAAAGTCTATTCTGTGCCTCTGGACCAAAACATGTCCCATTTCTTTTTTTTTAAATGATGTGAACTGGCACAGGCTTCGCCGAGCTGGCTGCATGTTGTTGTGGTTAGGTGTGAACATGACCTGAGGAACTTCAGCAAACTAGCCAATCTATGTCTGAGAGAACCAAATCAGAATTTTGCCTAAGT